TTCATAGTGCAGGTCAATGAGGAAGTAATTTTTTTCCAGAAAATCATTTTTGTCCAGCTCTTGTTGTTGATTACTAAGATCCCTCAGATTAGTGATGTGGCTGTGGGAGCTGACCGGCCTTGGGGGGATGCATGCTCTGTCCCTGCCCACTGCCCTCAGAGCAGATCATTCTGTGGGGCTTGTTCCCTCATTTGTCCTAAAGGGTATGGGGCTGAGGGGTCATGGGGGACCTGCCCTTGCTCTGAGAAGGCATACCAAGCTGCGGGAGGCCTGAGAGCAGGAGACTGGCAGAGGGAAGGTATTATTTCCAACTGAAGGAAGTTTTTCTGATTCATTAAGACTTCTTCTATTCAGAATTGTGTTTAATTTACCTGTGGGCTTGGATTGTTTTAGAAACTTTAGAAGCAGTTTGCAAATAGGTACTTCATACTAAGCATGAAGAGTGTGGAAGGAACCTTCTGGTTGGGCACTGGGCAGCCCCTTGCAGAGGCAGGACTAGAGGTGTGGGCTGAGTGTAGCAGGAGGAAGACCTGTAACTATCTTCCATCCAGCCAGAGCACTGCTGAGTGGAGCAGCTCCAATTATTGCCTGCAGTTTCTTGGGACTACGTAAATACAGAACACATTCTCTTCTCAAATGTGGGTATTCTTATATGCAAAAGGCATTCTAACTGTATTGGAACGGGGTAAAAACAATGTCACTTGTTCTTTATTGAGCACCCACTACATTCCTCGTAAGATCCCCATGAGACAGGCAACATGATTCTTTCCTATATTCTATATGAGCGAGGGTGTTTAAGTGTTTTGACCAGGGTTGCCAGGTGACTAAGTGGCGTTATAGCATCTGAACCCAGGACCATGCTCTGAATAAGGAGCCACTCTGCATCTTGAGTCTCAGAGGCACTGACTCCCCACCACTGGAGTGATTCCAGCCAAAACTAGAGGCCCAGCGAGTGGGATGATAGATAACTACGTGGGAAGCGTGCTTCTGTTGATGATGGCATGATTTCTTGCTGAGCCCAGGTGTTGTGTGCAGAATCCTTCCTACCCAGTGCTCTGGGAAGTCTCTCAGGACGAGTTGTTCCTGCAGTCAAGGGATTCAGTGTTTGGTGGGGTGCACCAGGAATGTTAGATTTGGATAGGTTTTCCCAAGCTTTGCACTGTCAGTCTCCTCTCCTACTGCTCTTCTGGAGACAGTTTCTGGCTGATCCTCAGCCTCTGGACAACCTGTGGCATTGCTGCCTGCAGCTGGAGGAGTTGCTGTTCTTCAAGCAGGCTTTGGGGTTTCCCAGAAACTTGGCACCTTCCTGTGCTCAGGGCCAGCCCTCACTACCTCTGTTCTTGGCTCCAAGAGCATAGCTGTGACATGACTCCCAGAGGGGCAGGCAAGTTATACATGAGTTTTCTCCACCAGGAGAGCTAAGGGCTTGGTGTGGCTTTATGTCCCTGGTGAATGTTGAGAGGGGCAGGGGCCTGGCTCTCAGGCCCCTCTCTGCCAGCCAGCGTGGGGCCAGGCTGGCAAAGAAACCTGCTTGGGCAGGCAAGTTATACATGAGTTTTCTCCACCAGGAGAGCTAAGGGCTTGGTGTGGCTTTACGTCCCTGGTGAATGTTGAGAGGGGCAGGGGCCTGGCTCTCAGGCCCCTCTGTGCCAGCCAGCGTGGGGCCAGGCTGGCAAAGAAACCTGCTTCTGCTGGCCCCAGGCTCTGCCATGACTGGTTGCCTTTTCCTCCCTGTGTTGGAAGTGTCACGGATGTGCTGTGTGATAGAATATGGGGCAAACTTCCCCTCTCTTTTCCCCTTCTCCCACAACTGTCCTTTTCAAAAGAGTTGAGTCTTTCTAAAGTCTCTTATATTACACAACACTTTCTCAATTACACCCTTTTGTTTTGAACAACAGAGTACCATTTCAGGACACCTTAGCCTGAAAAAAACCTCAATCATTACTGAATTTAGTTGCTTCTAGAATTAACTAAGAAATAAAAGGAGGCAAAGAAATCTAAGAGATTTAATCATTATTCCTTGGGGTCAGGGGTCTGACCTCATAATTCTAAGGGTGGAGTATTATTATAAACAAGCCCAAAGATCACTAATAAAAGAAAGAATAAATGAAAGAAAGATTAGTAAGTGGCTACAAATACATGATTATAGGCCGATGAAAAAACCAACTGCCTTAATGATATGAATGTGGGTTCTTGTGGGCTGGGATAACATTTCCAATAACAACATCCTGCATAGATTCACAAGGAGCTGTACCCAACACATCTTAAATGTCTAGTGAGGATGATGTGCTCTGGGTGACCCAACTTGACTCTAGGCTTGATAAAGGCATTATTGTTGGTGTGTAGGAAGGATTTGAAAAAAAAATTATTTTGTAAGCTGGGTGTGGGAAAATGGTATTTTATACTTAATAGGATTTTAATTTTAAATGTGTGTATATAGATAAATTAATACAACCGTGATTTGATTTTTTTGTCTACCTCCTAAAACTCATGTATTCAAGTTGGCACATTTTGGATCTTCTCATTGGCCAGTTGCCTTCAATATGGGAGGCACCAGGTTTCCTAGGTTATATGGCAATTTGTCCTGTAGCTCCTGAGGTGGGGGATTTGGAAGGGAGGCGGGAAGGACGAGGGGTGGTCTTTTCTCTCTCCACTCTGTTCTTTTTCTCTCTTCACACTGCTTTGCTGCCCCTGCCAGGCACCAAAGCCCTGGTCTTCGTTGGCGGCTCCAGAGTGTGCCAGACCCCCACCCTGTCCTCAGGGAGATCACAGTTTGCACACCTATTTTAGGCTTTGGGAGGCCTGGGCGTTTTGAAACACACTTGCAGTGTCTGTGGTTTGCTTCTTGCTGCATAAAGTGTATTCCATGGAACATATTAATTTATCTTTAAGTAGATTTATTATGTGAAATATTCATTGGAGTGGACTTCACAGTACAGCATCTGGAACATGTACTGAGTACAGTTTGTCCTTGTCAGTCTATTAATGCTGATGGGCTGCATTTGTCTCCTGTGAAGCTTTGGGGTGGGCTGGGGCTGGGAGGGGAGCGAGCTGCCATCGCCGCAGGGGCCCGCTCTGTGCGTGTGCAGGTCCATTCTTTCTCTTCCTTCTTAATGAATGTGGAGGCTTCCACTTCTGTGAGAACCCTCTTGTGAGCTTCCAGCCTCTTGTCCAATTCCAGCCTCCAGTGATGGTTTGGAGCATAACGAGGCTCAGAGTGCACACGAGTGAAAACTGATCTGTGGGGAGAGGGTAGCTAAGATATATAGGAAATATATAAGAAATACAAGAAATTAGGGAAGAACAGGCCCAAATCAGAACCATAAGTAGGGAAAAGCAGTCAGGGCAGTTTACCACCATTGCAGGGCCGTGACGACCGAGGCTCTAGAAGTTCAGGGTGTGCAGGTGATACTGAGACGGGGACAGGAAGGAACCTGGGCAGAGAACGGGGAGAGATCAAAGGTGAATGGCAGACTGCAGCCCACCTGTTTGAGAACTTCTTGGGCACCGCCCACACCTGTCCTTTCTTCCACTGGCAGGGTCACTGACAGAGTGAATGGGCTGGTCAGGGGGTTCATGGTCTTTACCTTTTCTGCTGGCACCTGTTCAGATGGGTTCCTGGGCTGGGAGTTGGCGTGGTGATGGTTAAGCAGCCAGGTGGCAGCCTGGCAGGCTTGTCCTGTCCGCTGCCAGGGATGAGGGTGGTGGGAAGGCGTCACCTGCACATCTCTCAGGAGGGCTGAGGAAGGAGGAGGAGGAACACCCGGGCTCCTGGCTTGAGTGCCTCTGTGTGTAGTGGAGTGATCCAGATGCTGTGGGGCACTTGCAGCAACAAAAAAACCTTGTAAGACATATATGAACAGAGGGTATGGTAATTTGGAATCTTGTATGAGGCTGGGGCTTCCTGTAGGATGGATTTCTAATCTTCTGGAATAGTGGCAGACAAGGAAAACCAACTCAGGGTCCTACTAGTACTCTAGTCTCCTCTAATCGCTAGTCGTGCTGATGTCTCCCTCCTTCATTGGTCACTGTTAAGGGAAGAGGATGTGTTTAGAGTGAAAAGAACATGGGTCTGGGAGTCCCAAGACCAGGGTTAAGGTGTGACTCTGCACTTCGCTGTGGGACCTTGGGTGAGTGTGACCTCTGTGAGTGTCTGCTTTCTCATTTGTAATGTGGAGGCTGTAATAGTGATGTCTGCCTCTGTGAAGTCCTGGGTTGTCATGGGGATCCATGTGTGTTTGTGAGAGCATTTCCTAAATTGCAAAGCCTGTGCAGCAGGTGGTGACACCTCTAGACTTGTAAGTGCTTTGAGGGAGATAGTACTTGGTTATTCCTTCTGCCTCTCACAGTGCCTCCAGAGTGTCTGGGGCACTCAAGAAATGCTTGTTGAGTTGTTTGAGATGAGTTTACTGTGGCACTGAGCATTTCCCAGGTTCCATTTTCCAGTGGCCAGATCCTCTCATTGTTCGCACTCTTGGATGAAGGAGGCAGAGCTGAAGCATCTGACCAGCCTGTGGAACACATGTAGAGGTCACCAGGAGGTGGCGATGCCCGAAGCAGTGTCAGCCAACCAGACATCCTGAGGATCCTGAGTTCTAAGACCAGACACTTTAATATGGTTTCCAGTTGCTGGGCACAGAGCTACACCGTCAGGGTTGCCCCACTTGAAGTTCAAAAGCAGAAAGCTGTTCCCATTCCCTGTCCTCCCTCCCACTTCTCTTCCACTGCACCCCTCTCCCATGCATGCCTGTACACACCTCCACCCCCTAGTGTCCCTGTCCCCATAGCCAGCCTCTGCACTGCCTCGACTCTGGCTCCCCATTCTTCCCCATTTCTTTAACTCTCTGTTGCTACTCTGCACTCTCACCCCCTGCTCGTGGACCCTGGATAGGTGCCACCTGTTTCTACCTTCCTGGGCTCAGGAGTGTTGGGTGTCTTTCTGGAGCTCAGGGTGGGAGCTGATTGGCTGACTCCTGTGGTTTTCCTGTGCCCCACTACAGGTCATCTTCCACGATGTTGCTGTGCTGACGGACAAGCTCTTCCCTGTTGTGGAGGCCATGCAGAAGCACTTCAGTGCGGGCTCAGGGACCTACTACAGTGACTCCATCTTCTTCCTCTCGGTCGCCATGCATCAGATCATGCCCAAAGGTAACCTGAACTGCCAGGAGCAGCAGCCCCTGGGTGTTTGATGTTTGCATCCATTTCCTTAGCTCCAGCACTGCCAGTGCCCTGTATCAGAGAAAAGAGCTCCACTGAAACATGAGGGAGAGGCTGAGGGACTCAGCCACACTCTGTGTACAACAGAGCTTCCTATTCAAAGAATCAGGGGCAAGGCCCTGGGTTATGTGGTTCCTGGGCCCATTTCTGAGGACATGGTATGGGTTGTACAGTATGTTGTCCCTGGGCTTGGGAGATGTAGGCTCCAGCCCTGATTTTGCCCCTTGCATGCACTGCCCCCCTCCAGAACTTAGTTTGCTCATCTGTAAAATGAAGGTTGGGCTAGATGACCCTCCGTCCAAAAATTTGTGATTCTGTTCTTTCTAGTTTGAATCTGTATTTATCAAACTTAAAAAAAACAAATCTAGATGTGAGAGGTACAAATTATGATCAAATAGAACTTTTCTGAAACTCTGATGCACAATTAAAAGGATTTTCTGGGCTTCTGTTCCTCCAGGGAAGAGATGCAGCTGTCCTGCTCTCATAAGTCCAGCTTGTGTGGAATTGCTGGCAGGGCTGGTCATCCTTGGACTGGAAGCCTTGGAGAGAAATAGAACTTTTCTGAAACTCTGATGCACAATTAAAAGGATTTTCTGGGCTTCTGTTCCTCCGGGGAAGAGATGCAACTGTCCTGCTCTCATAAGTCCAGCTTGTGTGGAATTGCTGGCAGGGCTGGTCATCCTTGGACTGGAAGCCTTGGAGAGGTCTTCTTCATGCATGTCCCTGGCTTCTGGGTTCCCCTTTCAATGATCCTTGATTGATTCTGGACATTGCCTCATTTTTGGCCATGGTGAACCATGACCTGAACCTCTTAGGGGTGAAAAGGCGTGCTCTGAAGCCTTGGGTAACAGTTATCCAAACTGCGGCTGGTTGACTTTTCCAACAGTTTCCAGATCAGGCAGAACCTGATATCCCTGGGGACAGCAAGCCCATTTGCTGGAGGCCTGCTGCTCTGGCCCAGCAGACCAGAAGTGAAAGAGGAGAAGGGGCCTGGTTGACCAGGAACTCAGGAGTCAGAAGCTGAAGCTCGCTTCCCATTGGCAGGTTGTCATGCCACAGAGAAAAGCAAGCCCATCCATTCTGGCTGGGACTTTGTCACTGCAAGCTGGTTCCAGCACCATGGAGGCCTCTGAATGTTCTCTTAGTTGTGAAGCAAGGGCTCGGGAAACTCCACTGAGCAGGGTCTGGAGGAGAGAGGAGTTGAACTCACCAAAAGGGCACAGGGAGAGGAGCTAGCATGTGTGACCATTTACAGTAAACCAGGTGTGGCTTGGTCAGCTCCTGAATCCTCCCACCAGTCCTGGAGGTTATAGACAGAGCTGACCGAGGAGCTGCATGACCTGCTCACAGTTGTACAGCCATTTAAGTGGCAGAGCTGGGGTTTTAACCCTGGTCTTTCTGTCTTGGAGGCCTGCTAATCCAAGTAGCAGTTACTTCTGTCCCATCAGGTAGCCTGTATGTGACCTTTCTGGGCAAGCCCAGTGCAGGAGCTGTGGGTGACTCAGATTTTAGGTGGGCGTGGTTCCTGTTCTCCTAGAGTCTAGAGGGAAACACAGGTGTAGGTGCTGGTCCCAGCTTTGCCACTAACTACTTGTGTGCCATTGCCTGAGCCACTTTGTCTCTCTAGGCTTCAGTTTCCCCACCTGTAAGATAAGGAGACTGCACCGGCGAGCTGTTTTAGCTTGCATTCTGAAGAGTCCGGGGCTTTATGAATCAAGGGGTTTCTGTAGTTCTTGGGAACTGGGAGAAGAGGAGTTCTACCCTTATCCTACCCCCTTCTCCTGCCCCCACCCCACTCCTAGTCATCTATCTTGATCTGCTGCATGCATCAGGCTTTGTGTAGGATTCTATTTGGTTAAAGGGTTGCATGGCTTAACAAATTTGAAACAGGTTGACTAGATGGGCCTTAAGAGCCTGACCAGTCCTACTGTCCTGCGTGCATGATTGGCCTTGAGTGAAATGCTGTGGTAGAAGAACCCAGAGGACAGCAGGAGATCTGGGAGGAGACCTGCCTGACCTTCCTTCACTTCCCTGCCTCCCTCCCTCTATCAGCTGTTAGGTCCCTGCCTATCCTGTGCTAAACTCTAGGCCGGGTTATGCTCTGGGGTACCCAGAGGGGTGTGAGATACAACTTGTGGTTTGTCAGAGAAGGAAAAATAACTTGCACTGCACAGCTACAGGGAGAGCCAGGCAGTGAACTGTGCAGGGCCAGATGACAAGAGGCAGGGAATTCTCAGGCTGCCTTCCCGCTGGCTCTCCTAATGGTGAGAAGAGTTACGCCAGGAATCTGTTCTGGTAGCCCTGTTCATAGCCTGGCATTGCTCGGGTGGTGACGACTGCAGAGAGAAGGCTCTGGCCAGAGCTTTGCTGTTGAAGTAGGTGGATTAGATGATGGGTATCCCTCCAGGTGTGGCCATGGCCCTCTAAAGGGCTTTATCAGAAGGTGGGGAGGGCGTTGTTTTACATGTGCCTTGGCAGACCCAAACTTCCTGTCTCTTCTTGGGTTCTTTAGACAAATGATAATTAGCTTCCAGAGATTCATTTTTACATATGCCCAATATCAACTTCCTAAGAAAAGAGATATTAGGAGTTACTAAAATTTGATAGTCATAATATAAAACAGCAGTCCTAGTGTTTCCTGTGGCGTCTGGGCGTGTTCTGCTAGGAAGTCTGGCCGCTGCGCAACACTTGGCAGATCGCGAAGTTCTTGCTGAGCAGATCGTTTGGAGTTCCTGCAATTTTCAGGACACTTTGTTTTCAGACCTCATCAGTACTGTCTTGAGTTTGTCATGGTTCTTTATTGCTGCTTTTTTTGTATTCATATTTTTTTAATTGTAGAAATTTCTGTTGCTTTGTGCTTTGGTTGATGGTTTTGTTCTAGTGTAGTTGTTGCATTCTTGCTATTTTGGCTATTTTGTTTCTTTCAGGGCATTAATTTTCCTCTGGGAAGGTGGCAGTGGAGTGTGGGTGGGGCCTGAGCCCTTGGCCCCACCCAGGAAGGCTGGGTTAGAAAAGCTTGTTCTCTGCGTCATGCCTGGGGAAGTCCTGTCTGGTGTATGCCCCAGAAATCCAGGTTATTTCTCTGGGCCTAAAGCTCTCCTCTCCCTTTCACTTTTGTAGCATAAGCGTCACACTTCCACACCTAAATTACTTAAAAAATATCTTTACTTCTTTTTCTCTTTTAAAAGTAGCACTCATTCATAAAAGAATACCAGAAAATGACATTAACATAGGAAAAAAGTTATCCCTTTGCTACTATATAAACATCATAATTGTTTGTTCTTTGATTATCTTCTAGTATTTACCAAACACGTAGCTTTTTAGAAATTCAGGCAAAGTAGGAGTTATACTATATGTTCAAATCACTCTGAGTCTTTTTTATGTATCAAGCAAGATAGGAAATTGAACCTTCATTTTAACTAAAAAAATGGTACAGGTCAAGCTGTATCACAATTTTTGCTCAGTTAGTGTCACACATCACCATTTTCTGTGTAATTATAGTCTTTGAAAATTTTTCAAATGGTTCCATTGAGTAGATGAAACTTAGTTCACTTTATCATTTCCCTGTTTTCAGCTAGCTAGATGATTTCTATTTTTTCCCTAATATCATAACTTATGCTGTGATGGACATCCACATGTATAAAGACTATTTTCTCTAATTAGGATTCTTTCCTTATTATGATAGCTCCCCAAGGGTAGACAGCCACAGGTACTGGACCACAGGTGATCCTCACAAAGCCAGGGCGTGTCAACCCCCCCACACCCCTAGTGTCATCGGCTTGCATGGGTGAGGGTCTATACAGTTTTCTAGGCCCATTGGTGTCTGACCCTCATATGGTCTTAGGCAGCCACATAAGGGCTTCCAGATAGCTGCTGTCCCCACTCGACAGTAGGGGAAAGTGAGGAGCTGAGATACTGGCCACTTTTCTGAGTTCGAGGGTGAGCTGGGCCTCTCCCCCGGGTTTCTGATCCCTCAGCCTGTGGTCACTCTGATATGCAGACCTGAGTGCTTAGCCTCTTATACCTGCCCAGCCCCTCCTGGTTGGGATAGGGCTGCATTTTGCCGTGACTGTCCCCCTCAGAGCAGTGCTACTCAAAACCACACCTGCAGAGCAAGTGCCTCAGGAAGAACCAAAGTACCTGCCAGGTGGGACATGCTGGCTGTGGTTTTGGTTAGAGCTTGTTTTTCTTTTCACTGCTTGTTTGAGGGGTTGCATGTGGGTGGCTGGCCAGTCCTGCTGCTCCCACTTGCCTGCCCATGTGCCCTCAGCAGAAACGCAGCCGCTCTCTCTCTTCACTCACGTCCACCGGGCTTTTATCTCCTCCTATCCATGGTGGTAGGCTTGTTCCATTGGAAGCATGTTATGCAATGGAAGAGAAAACATTTTTTGCCTGTCTGGAGCTGGAGGGAAGAGCAGCTCCCCTGGGACTGCCAGCTTCCCTCTCCTGTGTTGTGTAACTCTTAAGGAGCTCCAGGATCTTGCTCAGTGACATGGGCCATAAAAGCAACCCTTGCAGAGGCTGAGCTATGATGTGTGGTCTGTGATTGTGTTGGGGCTCTTCCTGGGCAGGGAAGGCCATACAACCAGCAGTGCTTTAGGCCATCCAGAACCCCCAGAAGACTTTCCTGTGGTCCCACATGCACCCCTGGAAGGCTCTCTTGTGCTGTGGTCAACCCTTTGTTAATAGATAGTCTTTGTCTGGTGTCTTTTGTTTGTGCGACATAGTGCTGGCCACTCTGGGTGTCTCAGAGATGTTTGCTGGACTGCTGCTTCATGGGTTCATGTCAGGTGGGGCGGGTGGCATGGTTCTGCAGTTAGGGCAAGTGCCATGAGGGTCCACACAGTGCTGAGGGTTTCAGAAGAGCAAAAGTCACAGGCATTTAGCAGGACAGAGAAAGGCTTCATGGAGAGAGGTGGCCCTTGAGGTGGGCTTTGCAGGGTGGATAAAGTTTCATCATGTGGACACAGGA